ATAGGAAAATAATGGACCGGTGGGAGATGAAAATTCCTTCAACAAAAAATTTGGTGGAAAAATAGGATTTGAGTATATGGTGATATGTGGGTTAACCATGGTGGGAGGCTAAAACCAAAATCCCAACAATTTTAGGTGTAATAATGATATAGGAATTTTGGGTGGAAAACTAAAAACACCTAAATTAGATGAAAAATGACGATATAGCGACGGATCGGAGAAATGCCATTGGAGACCAAACCAAATTCCATTTCCTATAAGTGGTGAAATGGTGAAATATTATTATTTTAATATTGGGTCTAAATTTTAGTGATACCCATTGGAGACCAAAACCACCATTTTTCCACTAAAAATGGTGGAAGAGTAAAATGGTGTGATACCGGTGGGAGATGAACCCATTTTTTCACCACCATAAATAGGATTTGGTGAAAAAATGGCGAAACCGGTTGGAGATGCTCTTACACACGTTAACTCACTATTTCCGTGCAATTGAAACGCAAATCAGCTTACTCTTCTTTTACAAACACTACGTGTTGTGCTATGGCTGAAGACTGAAGTCAAAGTCAATGAAAATACGTTCCATGTTCCAATTTCAATTTTTTTTCAATTTATTTTTTCAATTGAGCAGTGAAACGACATTGTGTTAACCATCTTATTTGTTTGTTTGTTCTTTTTTCTAAATTAAAACAAATTGCACCATTTTGGGCAAAAACACAAATTTTGCGGTTCGGTCCATGTTTTAAAGTATTGGGAAAAAATCAACGAATGAAAACTTCACAAATCCTGAAAAATGTGCATCTGCAATAGACACGAATCTCCAAATCGAATAAACTCGTGTTTGTAATGATTAATGATGTTAAATTATGAAAATATAATATTATTGAAAACTTAAAAAAAGAAAAAGAAATGAGGTTAATGTTAATTTTTTGTTTTGTAAATGAAATGTGGTACTTCTAGTAAAAATACTTATTTATCAACTCCCAAACAAAAAGATTATAGATAATTATAGTAAATGAGAAATTCAACCGGTTTCACCATTTTTTCACCAAATCTCAGTTTTTGGAGTAAACTGTAAAAGGTACTCCTATGTAATCTTCAAATAACAAAAACCCCCTTGTGATAAATAAATTAGCAAAAAAACCCCGGTGAAATTTAGTCAAAGGCAAAAAACCCCAGTTGACTCAAGTGTGTCTCACCCGCGGGTTGCGTGACTGGTAGTAGGTTTTTGGACGTCAAATGACGACATTATCCCTAAAAATGTGTTTATATGTATATATATTATATGTATATATATTTTCCTTTTAATTTGATTGTTTAGAAATTAAAATATTGTTAAAAAATTGTAAATAATTAAATTTAAAAATTATTAAAAATTTGTTAATCAAATTAATAACGAAATTAAAATTTTCTTTTGATGTAGTGATAATTTAAAATATATACAAAAACTATGTGATAATAAAAATAAAAATAAATTAAAGACCCCATTATACCTTTATAATTAAGATATAACAAATATAAAATAATTAAAATATTTAAAAAAAATATGAATTTATTAATTGCAAAATCCTGGGGGTATTTGTGTCTTTTTATATGAAGTCAACACTCAAATGATAAATGCTGAGTGTGCTATTTAAATAATTTCACAGGGGGATTTTTGCTAGTTTATTTATCATAGGGGGTTTTCGCTATTTAGAGATTATACAGGGGTACTTTTTGCAGTTTACTTCATTTTTGTGGTAAAAAATTGGGTTCATCTCCCACTGGTAGTACACCATTTTACCCTTCCACTATTTATGGTGAAAACATGGTATTTTTACTCTCCAATGGGTTTCACCAAAATTTTGACCAAATATTAAATAATAATATTTCACTATTTCACCACTTATAGAAAATGGGATTTCGTTTGGTCTCCATCACATTTCATCATATATGCCCCAAAACTATAAACCTAATGTTAATCGTAATTTTATTTCATAAATATTAATTATAGATCCAATGTTAAGTAATAATTCTTTTAAGTATATAATTTAAAAATTAAGTTATCAATTTTAAAAATTTTGTTTTCAATTTAAATGCCTTGTCTTGTATTTCATCAATTAAAGCGTGTTTCGTCAATCATTCTATTATTGCTTATTATATTTCATTAATAGCAGTTAGCGTATTAGTTGAGTAAAGAAATGAACTAATCAATATTGATACCAAAAAATATACAAATTAATTAAAAATAAGCATATTTATATTATTAGAATTAATGTGTTTATCAATAATAACAAATGTATTTATATTTTAGAAACTAATTTAGCAATTAACACCAATGTATTTACGATAAATATACTAATAAGTTGGTAATCAGGCGCAATGTTAAAATCATCATTTTATATGCTACTTAATAAAATGGTGTTAATTACACCAAATCCTATTTTTTTACCTCTATACTTGGCAGGAAAAATAGGATTTGGTGGAAAATATAGGAAAATGGTGGATGGGTTGGAGATGAAAATTCATTACCAAAAAATTTGGTGAAAAATAGGATTTGAGTATACGGTAATATAGGGTTGACCGTGGTGGGATGCTAACTAAAATCAAATCTCCATAATTTTAGGTGTAATGATGATATAGAAATTTCGAGTGAGAAGCTAAAAACACTTAAATTAGATGAAAAAATAGCAATATAACAACCGGCTGTAGATGCTCTTAGCCGTCAGTATTAAGTTATTAAGTTGTGCGTTATTATATTGTGCGTTTTGTTGTATGATGCCAGTAAGACTTACAGAGTAATAATTGTAGGAACATCCATATCAATTTCTGCTACTTCTAAGTTCTAACACAAACTACTTACTATCTCAGTAAAAAAATAAACTACTAATAATTATTAGTGTTCTAAAAATCGGCCGAGGCAGCTGATTAATCCGTCTCGGAGGTGGAGGCGGTTTAAAACCTTTACGATTTTAGTGTAAATGTTTGAAAAATCGGTTTTTTGCCCATGAGGCGATTTTAGGCGGTCAAACCTTTAAGGCGGGTCAAACTCGGTGGCAATAATCGGTAAAAAATAGGTTGTTTTTTTTTTTTTTTTTTTTTTTTTTTTTTTTTTTGTAATTCAAAATAAAAGTTGAGATTTTAATAAAAAAATATGAGTTTATGCTTTATTTTGTTTATGTTAATTGTTATTGTTAAGAGCTAATGATGTATGATATGAATGTTCAAGAATAGATGTAAATTCAAAAAAATTGCTTTTTTATTTATATTTTATAACGATATTTATGTAGAGACGTGCTATTTCCACACTCAGAATATCTTATTTCACCATCAAATTAAATATATTTTCTATTTTACCCTTTTGTTCCTCTTTCACACCATATTTTGTACAAATTTAAAAATTGTACACCACCAAACTAATTAGAATGTCACAAAAGAACTCCAACTTTATTAACTGGAATCTTCGCCACAAACTCTCATCATCTCCACCCTAAATGAAAGACAACTTCGTCAGAGCAAAACACCGGAAGGTCACAACGAGCAAAAATTCACGTTCTTGGAGAAATAAATTAAATAAAGAATGCTTGTGTATAAATAATTAAAAAGAAAAAAAAAACGAGATTTTTGATATTGATGTTTCTGTGGATTAAAATTTGAAAAATGGGTTACATTTCATTCATCACAATCCGCCTAGAAACTTATTCATATTGGATGTTTATTAGAATCTTGTTTTACCATTTGGAATTGATTTGTTGCATTACACAAGTTACATTTAGGTAGGACCGGCAATTGAGCCGGGCCTAACCGAAGCCCGATGGCTCGGTCCGATTATATTTGAGCCGAGCCTACTTTATAGTGAGCCGGGCCGAGTTTGAGCCATTTTACTAAACCCGATTTATTTATGAACCGAGTTTGAGCCATTTTACTAAACCCGATTTATTTATGAACCGAGTTTGAGCCTACTATGGCTCAACTCGAATAAGGCCCGACCGATTAGGATAATAATAAAATATATAATATATTTATTATTTTAATAATATGACTCAATATACAAGTTATGACCGTATAAGATTATTTGATTTTGCGAAGAAAAAAGTCAAAATAAAAGGAATTAAGTAGTGACGATGGCAATAAATTAAATATGAATCAAATGCAACATATCACCGAGATTTGAGAATATAAAATGTTTTCAATAATAAGAGTTACTAATCTTTTTTTACTTCTTTCGGTTTTATTTTCAAGTTTTTCCAATAACTTTCAATGATCGTTTAGGGTTTTTTTTTTTTTTTTTTTTAATTAGCTTCAATGGAGGTAAATCTTGTTCATTGCTTATTTTTATAAAAAAATGTACTCATTACAATTATATAGTAATGGGGCCTGATATAAACCCGAAACCCAAAAAAATACATGAGCCGAGCTTGAGCCTATTCTAATGAGGCCCGATGACATGTGAACTTGAGTCTATAGTAATGAGGCTCGATGGTATGTGAGCTTGAGCCGACCCAAGCTCGGCTCACATGACCCGATTGCCATCCCTACATTTAGGAAATAGGAGGAATAAACATGAGAGGGTGGTGGATTAGAAATTTTAAGGGTACTTTTGATATTTTAAATAAATTTGTTGGTGAATTGAGATAATTTGGAGGTAGAAATAGCACCACTCTTTATGTATTACGATCTTATTATTATTAAATTTTTATTATGTTATTAGGATATATACATGAGAGAGATATAACTATGTTTAAATATATTTTTTATATATGTTTGGAGTATTTATAAATAATATTTACAAAAATATTATATTAAAATTAAAAACCAATTTATTTCCGATTAATCATCGCCGCACCGATTTATCGTGAGTCGGTGTCTAACCGGCTCTGACCCGATTACCGCTTTTTACAACCTTGATAATTATAGATAATGTTCAGTTCACCACCGTACACCTTAGAAGCAAATAAGATGATGATAAAATTTTGGGCTAAAAAAAGAAAAGAAAAGGAGGATGATGATAAAAATAAAAAATAAAAAAAAGAAGAAAAAGAAAAATTCAGAATAAATCACAGAACAGATAAATGAGTCATTTTTGCATACCCAGTTTACCCACAGATCGTACATTATATTTCTCATAATTGAAAAATCCAGAATTACACTAATAATAATTAATTAATTGAGTGTCCAATTAGGGTACAACGTTGAGATCCAGAGCGAAATTATCGACCCTCTTTCCGGCGGCGGCGGCGGCGTCAAAGGCAGAGGCGTCCTCCTTCAGCCCATTGGCACCGCTTTCACTGTCGGAAGATCGGTTGGCGAAATACTTGACGGCGACGCGCACCCTCCTCAGAATAATAAAGAACTCATCAACCTCCTCCTCCGTTGGCGGCGGAGGCGGAGGCGGAGGCGGAGCCAACTCTGCTTTTCCTTTGCTCCTCCTCCTCACAGCCTCCACCTTCTCTCCCCTTTTCCTCTTCCTCTCAGTACTCTCCCTTTCCATTATTAACTCTTTCTCTCTCCTCTCTCTCTCTCTCTCTCTCTCTGATATAGTTGTATATTTAAATCTATTATTATCAACAAGCAGACGAATAATGGCGCACTTGACTTTTGGAATATATCTCGTCAATCATTAATAATTTCCAACCAACCCATATGATGATGCATCTACTTAATTTTACTCTTTCAATTTCTTTCAAATTTTATATGAAATCAAATGTAAATTCTTAACTATTGCATTTACTCGTGTTTTCAAGAACAAACGGCAAACCCATACATTTAAGAAAATCATTTAATTTCTTTTTTAACTGTATTCTTTCAGAGCAACTACAATTGTATTTTTTAGAGCATCTTCAATAGGAGAACTAAATGGAGCATTAAATTATAAAGCTATCATTTTGATTTCCTAAAAGTGAAAATATTTCACTGGAGGAGGCATTAAAGTGGTAGTCAATTTGATATTCAATCTTCTAGAGGTGCAAAAATGCACTCAAAAAAAGAGGAACCAAATATTCCTTAAAAATAGCTCTAGCGAATTCAACCGAAAAAAATAAATAAAATCTCAATAAATTTCAATAAAAAATAGATAATAATTTATTTAATGCCTATGGGTTTGAGCATATGATTTTTTTATTAAAAGTATCAAAGTATTATCTCAAACATCAATTGAGTGTTTGATGCTTCATTTTAATACCTCTCCATTGGAGTTGTTCTTACTTTTCTTCTTCCGGTTTAAATAACTCTCTTTTTTTTCCTTATAAATTCTAATTGTTAAACATATTATGAGTTAAATTATTGTTGACATTCTGTTTTTAAATTTAAATTACAAATTTATATCAAGTGAAATGAAAGTGATGGGTTTAAAAGGCAGTATATTTCTCTACTTGTACATAATGGCTCTTGAAGAACATTTATTTATATTATAGTGTACGTAATTTAGAGGTTTGAGTGATAATAATAATAAAAAATGACCCCATTTGTGATGCAAGCTGAATGACGGCCAATTACTCGATTCACACAAGCAAATGTATTTAATAAACAACCATTTATTAGCACGCAATTTTCGAGCATCTTCCATTGTAACATCATTTTTGTCATCAATCCTATTTATCTTTAAAAAAAGGATTATTTTGTAGACCCCTCATTTCCAAATTATATAGAACTAACTACCAAGTGGATTACACTCTAGGGGAAACCCCCTCATTTCGAAAATATTTTGACATACTCCCCTGGGCTACCCTGAAGTTCCTATAATGCCCTTCTAAAATCAGTTTTAAACCCTAGTCACTCACGGTCTCTCTCTTCTTCTCCCAGATTCAAAATCCCGCCTCCACAAACCTCCCACCGGCGAAATTGCTTCCCGGAGCCATAACTCTCTCTCCGGTGGTCGGAATTCGATGGTTTAACTACCGTTGGATTCCTCTCGTCGAGCTCTTTCTTTTGGTGGTGATTTTATTCAGTTTCGAGCGCGAATCTGTTTCTGCAATTTTTTTTTCCATCGAGGATGGTGGTCTTGCCGGAGCTTTATTTTGTGTTCCACCCGTCGAAATTTGACGGGTCACCCACCGTTGGATTCCTCTCGTCGTGATCTATATTTTGATGGTAATTTTGTTTATTTTTTTATTTTCAGATTTATTTCTATATTGTTTTGCATTTGTGGCGGAACCGTGGGTGGTTATTAGCGGCGCCTAGGGTTTTGGTAGGAGGTGAGGGGGTGAGGAGTCACTGTCTGTTTTGATTTAAAATTTGTATCATTTCCCAGCAATAACCTCTCTCTTTATCTCTCGATCTCTTAGTGTTTGTTGATTTTTTGATTGTTTTGATGTTTTTCTTCAAATTTTGTTGATTTGCACTAAAGTAATTTCTTTTTGTTTTGATTTTGCAATTGCAGCTTAATGAAGGCCATTGATCCTTTCCTTTAAGGTGCCAATTTTTTTTTTGAAGTTACATCTGATTTGTTTAACAAACTGTATACATTACTGTACATTACTATACATTACTATAGTAACATGTAGTTACATATGCGTATATTTGTGTATTTTCGATTTGCTTTTTATTTGTTCTGATGTGATTTATAATAAAAATATTGAAATTTGTAAATTTTTGTTGTGGTTTTATGAATTTATTTTGTATAAGTCAGTATTCGTGTGTGTACACAATTGATCGACTAAAAACATGGAAAAAAAAAACGAGCATAACTATGAATTACTATAGGTACTATAGTTACATGTAGTTATTTTCAGTACTGTAAACATATTGTTTTGAAAATTAAAAAAGAAAAATTAAAAAAAAAATTATTTTTTTTTTTCATTTAAAAAAAATAAAAAAAATAAATATATATATATATTTAACAAACAGGTTTATAAAAAAAAATAATAATAATAAATAAATCAGCGAAAATGATAAATGCAGGACCGTATATGCTGATGCAGTTTGGCCGAAAATTGCATATAAGGGTAGTATAGTACTTTCGCTTCTCAGGGGGGTATGTCAAAGGATGATTTGGGCTTGGGTTTATCCCTAGTTTATTTGGTGGCTAGAGGGGTACGTAAAATAACCCCTTAAAACAATGGGGTTCTCGGCCACATCCCTAGTATATTATTCTCTTGTTTTTTCACCACTTTTTGTGACAAAAAAGTGTATTTAGTTTCCCATCATTCAACCAAATTTTACACTAAATAATAAAATATTGTATTAATTAGCACTAATATATTTACTATAAATGTGTTCAAGAGTGCATTTGGATAGAGAGATTTGGGGGGGAATTTGATTTGGAGAAGAGATTCGAAATTACTCTAAATTTGGAGTCATTTGAAATCCACATCAATTGTTCCAAAAACAACTAAAAGTAGGGATATGGATTTCAAATTCATCATCAAATTCCTCAATCAAAACAAGTCCAAGGGATTTGTTATTATAGATTTGAAATTCCTCCTCCAAATTCCTCCATCCAAATGGACCATAAAAGTTGATAATCACATTAACCTAGCTAATATAATATGCTAATTATAAAATAGTGTTAATTGCACCAAATCCTATTTTCACTTTTGTACTTCACAAAAAAAAAAAAATAGAATTTTGTGGGAAAAAAATGGTTGGAAAAAAAATGGTAACATGGTGGAAGAGTGGTATATACAAATTTCTTCACCAAACAATTTGATGAAAATGTAGGATTTAGCGATATGGTGATATAGAGTTTGATTATGGTGGGAGATTAAACCAAATCACTATAATTTTAGGCGTAATTGTTTAAAAATGTAGGTTGAGAGGTTACAAACACCTAAATTAGGGGATAAAAATATAAGGATGGAAATCGAAATGAAATTTTCGAATTCCGCCGGTTCTGATTCGAAAATATCCAAATTTGGAACCGTATTTTTCATTCCGATTTTGATTTCCAATTCTTCTAAATTTATTTGGGGCGGAATTGGGATGGTATATAAAATTACCGGAAATTTCAATTGCCGATCCGATTTTAGTTCCGAATATTTCTATGTTTTTTGAAATATATAATATAACTTTATAATATATTTTTGTTATTCCATAATATAACTTATGTTATATTATATATGAAAAATATAAATGTGGAAGGATCAGGTAAACCTTAGCAAAGATTAATTGGTATCAGAAACTTTATGTTACATGTTTCCTTATAAGAAAATCTATGTTTCGATTTGTTGTTCCTATATGTATTTTTATTTATTGCATTTTGCCGAACTCTCTTTTCGATTTTCTTGCATTTTCGTGCAAAAATTTAAAAAAGATAGAAAAATATTGCGAAAATTTTAATGATATCCGAATTTGGAACAAAATATTATAAACCAACGTAATTTCCGAAATTCCACCAATTACGAGTCATTTCGAATCAGAATGAATTTTTGCATTCCGATTTTTTCGGAACAAAAATTGGAACCTATTTTTTTCGCTTAAAAAGAAATTGATTTTTTTTTTTAACAAATGTCATTTCTGATTCATTCTTTCCCATTTCCACTTTTATAGAAAGGACTATTAGTTATAACCCTTTCGAGCATTTTTTTAATAAGGGTGGATCCACCTACCTTTTCAATATTAGTAGTAGATCCACAATTTCCTATTTACCGATAATAACCCTATAAAAATACGAATTAAATTGATAAATAAAATACTAAAAATCCCGCATCGCTAAAATCACGTTCTCAATCCCCCGAATCTCGAACCCACTTTCCTTCCAACCTTCCCCTACCAAAACCAATTCTTAAAACCCCAGCACTACTACGCCGGTGAGAAACACGACGAAACTACCAATCAACGGTGACAACCTTCTTTGAGATGCGAACGCTTCTAAAACAACTACAATTTTTCTATAGATGTGGTCGTTTCATACACATCGACGAAAAACGACTACAAGCACACCCATCTTTATGCTATTTTCCTACACCATCATGTATGAAGAAGTCCTCGGCCGCAATAAGTTTGACATGTTCATAAATTTCTGCAACTTCTTGGTACAGACGACCCTAATCCTTGAATTTTTTTTTTAATTCTTTGTCGTGGTGTACAGGGAAAATGAGGATGAGAAAAAAAACAATGATATTAGAGTCAACGCCTATAGTAAATAAATATGCTAGAATTTTATTTTATTTATTCGATCGATTTTGATAACTACATTCAAACGTAACTTTTTTTTTTACACAAATCAGAAAAATAGTCTATTTAGTAATAAAAGTAGTTGATTAAAGAAAATAGTTGATGTTGAAAAATAGTCTAATTTGTATTATAAAATAGTCTACTTAGCTAAATTGAAGCAAAATTTGGAAAAATAGCATGTTTTGTAATTGAAATAGTGGGTTAAAGAAAATGGTTGATGTTGGAAAATAGTCTATTTTGTAAAATGTTGTTGTTTACATAATGTTAATCTGCACTAATGGAATAAACAGGCGCAAACAAACTTGTCCAAGAGAAGAGAAACGAAGGGAAAAATATGTTAAAGACATACATTCTTCAAAAGTGTCAACTTCAACCAAGCCCGCCTCACATACCCTAAATTTACACATTCCCACAATTGTATTTAGTTTTGGAATGAATGAGATGGATAAATTTTGTAGTTTTATAAATTCTCGTTTAAATGAATAGAAGAAAAAAAGATGATTGCAATAAATTGTGTGGA